AGGAGGAATTTGAGTTACACCAGAACTGACAACAAAGAACGAGCTACTGGAAGGGGGGCCGTTTTAAGTCGGGACTTAGTGTGCAAAATGAAGAAATAGTAGAGGGATTATTCACTCAAGAGCCAATGAGCCACTTAATTAAAGGAGTCCCCGGGGGGCACAAACAGCTCCTGAGCTCTGCGGGAGGTTTCTGTTCACCCAAAGGTGTCGAGAAAGGCCAGCCTGGCGGTTTACTTCCAAACCAGTCAACAGTGCTGTGACACACAGGCTCGTCACGAGTTAGAATCCACTCCACTGCTGACACCATTTGAGAGGCGAAGGGAAGCCATCGGGGGTGCTTGAGAGGAATGTTGTTTTCAATGGATTCCCTGGGCCACTGTCACACTCGACTTGTAGATCTCTCAGGGCAGGTTTTGGTGGATGGAAAGACCAGCAACTTGATGTGTGGCAGCTTCTATTTCAGGTGCCTGTCCAGACATCGGACTGACTAGATCAAGAAGGCTGGCAAAGATTCTAATCTGGGGCACAGGAGAGACTCGGGGCTAAAGCCATGGAGCCGGATGAGATGACCAGTGGAGGAAGTGTAGACAGAGACCTGGAGCTCGTCAAGATGCAGAGATCCCAGATCCCCAAGGAAGATGCAGAACAAGGGACAGGAATAGCTGGTGAGCTATATAGCCTGGTAGCTAGCTCGTGGGTGTGCGTGGCTACTTAGAGTGGAAATGTTCAATTCCCCTTCCTAGTCATATTAGCCACATCCCAAGGGTGCAGTAGCCACTAGTGGGTAGTAACTACTGATTTGGACAGCATCTTCATCTTTGCTTAAGTCCACGGACAACACTGCTCCAAAAGCCAAATGGAGGCAGTGTCGCACAGAGAGGCTCGAGGCCAAACACGGCTAATATGTAATGCGAGAACTGACTGTGGCTCTGGTACCTCTTAGCAGAGAGTGAGCTGGTAGGGTGGGAGGGGAGAGCCTGGTAGGAGTGGGTGCAGGGCAAACTGCAGGAGAACAGGTGGAATCGGCAGCAGACGCTCCAGGCTTGTAATTAGAGCTGTGAGGCGGCTGCTACAGAGGGTTCACGCTGTTCTGAAGATGAGCACAGCGCTGTGACTAAGAGCCGAGTCCTGGTAAATGGGACACGAAAACCCTGTGGACCAATGGTTCGCAGCCCTAATAGAATTATTTAAAGAGCTGGCGCCTGGGTCCAAACCCGAGACTGACTAATTCTTTGGGACAGGGCCTTGGTATTTATATGTGAGAAGCTTTGCTTCTTTTTTTGGTTTTCCATCAGTGATTTCTGAAGTGTACTTCAGACCCACTCGCTGCCGCAAGACACAAAACGCAAGGATTCCCACCCACCTCCAGAATTCTGTGGGGTTCTACGTAGTATGTTGGAGAATTTATAGCAATGACATTGGAGGAAAGGAGTCGAGTGCTAGTGTGGAAAACTCCCCTGCCAGTGTTTCGGAGACTGGATGTTAAAGTCAGCCAGAAGGAAGTCAACACGAGACAAGAGATGAACAAACAGTTTGAGTATGGGTGAGTTACTCATTGAAGAAACGGGGCTCTGGGTTAGAGGGGAGACAAACCCACCACCACTGGGTACGGCAGAGTAAGGCTGGGGCTTGCCCGGTAGGGTTCTCAATGCTGTACATCTTGATGGAGGCAGACTGCCTGGTCTTCCTGCCATTGAGCACGTAACGACTCTGCCACCAGGGTGCCACTCGCTGGAGTACTTTTATGAGACTCTGCTTTCTAGAAGGAAAACTTTTTAATGTTTTCAAATGTTAAACTTGAAGAAAGCACGATTTTCACTTTTTGACTAGTTGCATCTTTCCGAGTCACTGGGTAATGCAAATAGATACATGCTCAGCTATCAGCCAAGAGGTTAGTGGTTCACACCCACCCAATGCCTGGCAATCCAGAAGTCACAACCTTGCCCACCAGGTGAAGGAGCTCTGCCCGTGGAGTTGTCATGAACGGGGATGGACTCGCTGGCAGGCAGCACCAAGAGGCAGCTTTCCACTAAAACTGCGTGACTACTAAAGCCCTGCAAGGTAGGTGTTTGGGTCTGCAGTTCAGTCATCTACTTCCTGTCCGGCACTGCTGAAGAAAGAATCTGCCCTCAAGACTCATTCAATAATGTTTCAGGAGAAAGAAAAACAAGCACCTACTCTACTAGGCAGGACTTACCGCAAGTGTAAGTGTAAATAATTAGACCAGCGTGAGACACAGCTCTGGATCTGGAAGCACATACTGTTTTCTAGGTAGAGGCCCTAGGATGCCTGTCCCTTTCCTAAGATTCCAAAGTGTTCACAGTCTGCTGTTCACCCTACTCCTTTATATTCCCCAAACCACTCCCAAACTCATTGCTATTGAGTTGATGCTGACTCATAGTGACCCTATAGGACAAGGTAAAACTGCCCCTGTGAGTTTCCAAAACTGTTTAGTGGAGTAGACAGCCCATCTTTCTCCCGCTGAGCGGCTGGTGGTTTCAAACTGCCAGCCTTGCTGATTGCAGCTCAGCGTGTAACCACTTCAGGAGAAAGAAAAACAAACACATACTTGGCAGGGCTTATTTCAAGTGTAACTAAATAATTATTGTCAGACAAATGCTTTATATACTGTGGTACGAAAATAAAGACTTCGACTATAATGCCCAGATCGCCTACCCATTCGTTTACCCTCCTCAGTGTATTCGCTCTAGGAGACAACAGAACATACTCCGTTACCCCACCCAAGTACTTTAAAACTGTTACTTAGTCATAACATAAAGGCAGGATGATCCACGACTTGAGATAATGCCTCATAATAAAAAGAAAATAACCTACAACCTGAAACTGAGTAATTAATTTGGAAATACTGCGTTAGTCTCACTGCAGTTAATGTGAGTATTTCTACCATCAGGGTTATCTGATCTCTGCTTACTAAATCCAATTCTCGACTGTGATGGATAGAAGAGAAGGTCTGTGTATAGAAAAAGAAGTCACTGCTTTACAGGGAGCAAAGACAAAGCTTCTGGTACATCAAACATTTATAAAACCATTCAAATTAATGTAGTAAGTCATTTCTGAACTATGGCTGCCTCTACTCATTTAATCAAAGATAAGCAGCCACTCAGTCATTTTCCTCTTGAGAAGCAGCCGTGTGGCGCAGTAAAGAGCGGGGCTCTTCTGCGTATGTGACCCTAGGCCACTCAGTCACTCCCCTTTCAGGGGTCTTCATGTTCCTTTCTGTGTGTCAGGCTGGTTTCAAGAGCCGCCTCATCTGCTGGTTGGGCACCATCCCTGTCAACAGCACTTGCCTCATGCACACGGAAGTTCTCAAAAGACATGAGCTCGCTGACCTTCACCTAAACCCAAGTAGTACAAACTTCTGCTTGCTTGAAATTCCAATAGTGGATCAAAACTTAGTTCAACTCACTGCCATGAGTTGATGCCAACTCATAGCAACCCTCTAGAACTGCTCCTGTGAGTGTCCAAGACTGTAAATGTACAAGAGTAGAAAGCCCAGTCAGTCTCCCTTGGAGCATCTGTTTCTGAACTGCTGACCTTGCAGCTTAACAGGTAACCACAACTCCACTCCCACCCCAAAATTTAAAAGACAACCAAACTCACTGCCCATCGAGCTGACTCTGACTCATGGTGAGGCTATAGTGCCCGGTAGAACTAACTACTCTTAGGGATTTCTGAGGCTAACTGCCGGAGTACGAAGCTTTTGTCTCCGGAGGAGCAGAGCGGCTGGTAGTCTCAAACTGCTGTCCTTGCCCTTATCTTTGGCCTGGGGAGGTAGAACCCAGTACTGAACGGTATCATTTGTGAAAAGCTCCGTGTTTAAGAGTAGAGGCACTGGTGCCTGGGTGTAACCTGTGTGGCCTTAGGCAAGCTACTCAACTTTTTTGCCTCAGTTCCGTATCTGTAAAATCAGTATATTTGCTATCTCCTAGGGTTGTAGAGGAGCCTTGGTGATGCCTACCTCAGGAGAAAGATGAGGCTGTGCCTGTCCCTAACGATTGAGTCTCAGCTGAGGGAGGAGAAATGCCAAGCCACAGGAAGATCTTCTAAAGGAACAGAAGCTCCTGAGACGAGCACCATCCCCAGGGCCTGCCCCGACTTCAGGCTTCGTTTCTTGACGTGAGAATATGCCTGTCTGTTAAAAGCCCTAAGAGAAGAGTGAGTCTCGGAAACGATGCAGGGTCACTCGGTGTGTACACAGGTACCACGGGAGTCCTGGGGGCACGGTGGGTTAAGGGTTAGATCACCGAGAGTTCAGAGGGTTGAACCCATCAGGGTTGGATTTGCTGATTTACACACCCAGAAACCACATAGAGGCGCTCTGCACTGCCCTATAGGGTCACCTTCAGTCGGAAGTGTCTAGACGGCAGCACATTTGGTTTTGGGGTTTTAGCTTGGTCCCAGACAAGCTGTGGTGTGGCCGCAAAGGAACTACATGGATGGCAACAGGTCCCTGACCTAAACGGTTGCTTAGCAATTCCACGACTCAGAAGAGTGAAACAACTGAAGGAGCCTGGAGCCACAACAGCCAACTAAAAGTTTGCCCTCGAACCCACCCGGCAAGTCCACGGGAGAAACACTTGGTGACCTGCTCCTGGGAAGATCCCAGACCAGAAATCCCTGTGCGCCAAACTCGATGGGGCAGGTTGTTAATACCACGTGTGGGTCACCAACAGTAGAAATCAACTGAACAGCATGAGCAGCAACATAGCATCTAATAGGGACTGGACTAAATGACCTCTGATCAGGGTTCTCATGCTCCACTTGTAAGGTCTCTCTAGATTTTGAAACACTGGGTATCTCAGTCTCATTTTCTGTCTGTTTCTTTTCAAACAGACCATCACAATGACTTAGCCATTACCAAGAAGTACAAATTCTGCTTACCAAGCAAGCCATCCCTTAAGTAATCTTAAGAAGCAAGCATAAATAGCTGTTATCACAGGGTGAATTTTGTCTGAAGAACTTTAAAGCAAGCCAAGTAATTGTATAAAATTTAAATTTTATGACCATGTTTGGACCTTTTTACATTTGACACAATGGAAAATGTTCATATTCATTCACGGTTTCCCCAAAGGAGAAAGAATGAATCACCAGTATATTGTACAGAATAAAAAATACCATGAGTTCAGTTTCTAAAGAATGCACATGACAGACAGGACACTACTTCCAAAATCAGAATGTCACCAACGTGATTTTGTCGTCTTTCAGGATCTCCCTCCAAATTCGGCATCTTTCAGAGGAAGCCAGCCCCCTGGCCACAGTCTGAAAGCCTCTGCCCACCGCAACTTCCTGAGAGCAGTGCAGGGACCGCCATCTGGTGACCAGACTCCAAGTGGCCGTTTGGTAATCATTAAGGGGACTGACTTTTCATGTGTCAATCAACTGTAGTCTGCTGATCTGATTCGAAGCCTTGACAAATGCCTGGTGGCGATTGCAAATAATCGCCAAGCAGATGGGGATGATGCAGTAGCCCACCGTTTTGGGGTCAGCTCTTGTACAAGAATAAAGGAAGAGAAACATCTGTAAGTACGGAATCAGAAAAATAATGGTCCACAACCAAAAAGGCAGGGAGAGTAAGCGCACTTTCAAGGAGTGTGTCCATGTAGTTCCTTCGCGGGGCTCGGCGGGCTGGATGTGCTCCAGGGCCAGCCTGTTGTAAGTCTCGTTGATTTCAAAAACATAGTAAAATGCGGCCGCGCTGGCTAGCAGGTATAACCCCACTCCAATCCATCCCATTCGCTGGCGGAAGTTCATCATTCTCCATGCTCTGTGCCTTCAAAGGAAAAAACAAAATGCTTGTCAGGCTGGAGAACGCCATCCTGCTAACTTTCCCAAACGCCCCGACTTAACAGCCACCGAGTCTTTTCTGCCCCCTCTCGGAATGAGGTTTCAACTAGGAGACTACCACTTAATGGTTCAGAAGAAGCAAATTATATGCACATTTATTAAGATAGACAATCAGATGACAGGTTATTTTACCGAAGTCACGAGCAAATGAACCATTGGTTTCGGTACATACAGAGTTCTGCTTTTTACCGGACTCCGCTTAAGCTGCTCCAGCCCGGGTCCGGAAGAAGTTGGAGCTAAATCTCCTAGGAACATTCAACGCTTACAACGCAAATCCTTTCTGGCTGGAACACATCCCTCTAAACGTGAAAACTTGGTTCTACAAACAATGCCAGAGGCCCGCGTTACAACAGTCGCTCCTAAACACTTACAGTGGTCCTGGAAATCTTCCTGTTCCCACGGCAAGCGTTAAAGAGTCACTCAGGTCTGAATAATCAGGTGGCTTTAGCATTTCCCAGGGAAAGCCACCATGTAAAAAATCCCGCGGGCCTGCCGGCTCGGAGAAAGGAGAGCGCAGCCAGCCCGGAGACCCTGCTGCTTGTGATCCAGTGGAGCGTGACCGGGGCGAGTCACGCGGCGGACCGCCCCCTGTCACCGCAGCCGGAGCCCCGGCCGGTCACCCAGCCCGCTCCGCGGACGCCGGTGCCAGCAGGGCCTCCCCGCGGCCGGCCCCGCCCCCTGACGCTGCAGCGCCGCCGGCCGCGACCAGGGCTCTGCGGCGACGCCAGGCCGGGCCTGCTGCCCCGCAGCGCCGGGAGCTCCGCGCCCAGCAGAGCCAGCCACGGGCAGAGCCAGCGAGGCTGGGCAGGTCCAGCAGCTCACCTTCCTGTCCCGGGTGGCCCGCCTGCCCGCCCGCTCTCCCAGACGCCGCTGCAGTCGCGCTTCCGGCTCGGGCCCGGAAGTGCGCGCGCCCTGCTCGGAAAGGCCCGCCCCCTCCTGACGTCCGGCGCCTGCGGCCGCAGCAGCTGCGCTCCCGCGCGCCCCGCACCTGGCGGAGGGGAGCCGGCCGTGGCGGCTGGTGGCGGTCTGTCCTGCAGGCGGGCGAGCGTCTCTGGCCGGCTGGCCTCGCTCGGGACTCCGGCCGCCCGTCCCTCGCTGAGAGAGCCGAGGCGCGGGCACTAAGCGGGCCTGCGTCGGCCGCCGTCGCCCGCGGCCTGTCCCCAGAGCCTCGCTTTCGCCTTCTCCGAGCCGAGGGGCCTCTGCCGGCCCTGGGCCCTCGCGCCCCGGCGGGGGACCCCGAGCGACTGGTGAGGCGCCGCGCGGGCCCCGGCGGACGGGGTCCCCTGGCCGCCGCCGCCGAGCGCGGGGGACCTGGGGAGGAGGATCCTTCGTCTCGGGTCCCGCCCCCCGCGCGGCCTGCGACCTCGAGCCCTTGAACTAACCCGCTGCTTTGCCCTGACAGGCTGCCGGCCCGCGGGACCTCGGAGGATCGCCCGGATCGCGGTGGGTGGGCGCCATGACGCTGAGGCTCTTGGAAGACTGGTGCCGGGGGATGGACATGAACCCGCGCAAAGCTCTGCTGGTTGCGGGCATCCCGCTGACCTGTAACGAGGCGGACATCCAGGAGGCCCTGCAGGCCGGCCTGGCGTCCCTGGGCCAGCACCGCCTGCTGGGCAGGATGTTCCGGAGGGCGGAGAACAGGGTGGTGGCCCTGATAGGTCTGACTGAGGAGACTAGTCTCGCGGTGGTCCCCAAGGAAATCCCGGGCAAGGGGGGTGCCTGGCGCGTCATCTTTAAGCCCCCTGACCCAGACAACGAATTTCTGAATAGGCTAAATGAGTTCCTAGAGGGAGAGGGCCTGACGGCGGCCGAGTTCACCAATGCTCTTGGGTACGGGACGGACCCCTTTGACCGAGGCCCGAACCTGGTCCCACAGGTGGGGACCCCTATGTTGGCAGAGGCGTTAGACGAGGCCCTGCAGCCAGCCCTGCAGTACCTGAAATACAAAAAGCTGAAAGTGTTCTCTGGCAGTGACCCTCCGGAGCCGGGGGAAGAAGAGTTCGATTCCTGGCTGTTCCACACTACTCAGATGATGAAGGCCTGGCAGGTGTCCGACGCAGAGAAAAGGCGGCGGCTGCTAGAGTGCCTTAAGGGGCCAGCATTCGAGGTCATCCGTGTCCTCAAGATAAACAACCCTCGGATTACGGTCCCCGAGTGTCTCCAGGCGCTCGAGCAGGTGTTTGGGGTTATCGATAACCCTAGGGAGTTGCAGGTCAAATTCCTAACCACCTACCAGAACGCCGAAGAAAAGTTGCCAGCGTATGTGCTCAGACTGGAGCCTCTGTTGCAGAAGCTGGTAGAGAGGGGAGCGGTTGAGAAAGAAGTTGTGAATCAGGCCCGCCTGGACCAGATCCTGGCAGGGGCGGATGACAGGACCCTTCGGAGGAGGCTGGATCTGCCGGAAGATGGCCCTGCGCCAGGCTTAGTGCAGTTACTGACCCTGGTGAAGGAGGATGAAGCGGCTGAGGAGGAGGAAGAGGCCCTTCTTCTGCAGGCCGGGCTAGAGGGTGATTTCACCTGAACCTCAGGGGTCCGGGAGGTAAGGTCTGCCATTGAGCAGGGCGGGAAGGCACCACAGCCCATCACCCAGCTATTGCTCTCACCGCCGCCCTGTGGCTCCTGTGTGCGCTGTGCTCGGTATAAAACACTTGTCATTTCTGTGCCTGTGTGCTGCTCCTCGTGTTAGGTACCGGTCGGTCCTTTTCATATTGATGCCGAGATGTGCAACAGAACAAGCACCGCCTGGCCCTGCACCACCCTCACAAACATTGCTGTGCTTAAGCCTGTTGTGACAGCTGCTACGTCAAACCCCCCTCCTCGAGGGCCTCCTCTTTCTCTGACCCCCCCACTGTATCCAGCCTGAGGTCCTCCTTCAGGGACTGGTCCCTCCTGATAGCATGTTCAAAGTGCAAAAGAGGAAGTCTGCTTAACGTCTCCTGGGCGTGCTACTGGCGCAGAAGGAGGTCGCCCTGCACTGGTATTTGTGTATTTACAGTGGAATCTGAGTTGGTTTTATCCTACAAAACTACAATCCCATGTCCCTATCGACATGCAGTGTGCTGAGGTGGCTGGCAGGGCGCAGGCACAAGCTGACCAGAAGAGCCCCTTGAGCTGTCCCCTCGTGTGGTGACAGGAGCAAATGCAGCGTGTCGGGGATACTGTTGTGTCGTCCTTGCCTGGTGAACAGGCATCATCTCTGGGGGAGGACACGTCTCAGCAGTGGTTGAGAGACTGTTGTTTTCCGTGTGGGTGGGAATTTTACTTATTCTGTGCCATCAAAAGGTGGGGCTGCTTGCGGAGGTTGAAAAGTTGTCCACTGCCGCCTCTAACCCCGGGTTTCTGCTGTGCAGTAAAGCATGGTGATGCACTGAATGTCACTTTGATAGGTGTTATAAACGCGAATTTATAAAATAAAGGAATGCTAATAGAATGGCATTTTTCTCTCTCTCTCTGTTCAACTCATATCATGGTTTCAAGAAAGATTTAATCCCTGCAGATGATCCCGAAAGCTGACACCTGAAAACCACTGCGGTTTCACAATCTTAAGTTCCCTTGGCCTCTTCCCTCTTGGTGCCCGGGTGTGTGGTGGTTGTTTGGGGCCCTCGTGTCAGCCCTTACTCAGGGCGACCCTGTGCAGCAGAATACAAGATTGCCTGGTGCTGCACGCACCGGTCCTCATAGTGGTGAACTCTGAGCCGCCATTGTGGCCACCGTGCCACTCCATCTGACTGACGGTCTTCCTCTTCCTCACTGACCCCTCCTGATGGCATATCTGAAGTACACGAGATGAAGTCTTGCCAGCCTCGCTTCCCAGGAATGTTCCTATTGTATCCCTCTTCCAAGACAGATTTGTTGATTTTTCTAGAAGTCCATGATAATTGTAATAGTCTGCCAGCAGAATTCAAATGCATCATTTCTCTACTAGTTGTCCTTATTCCTCGTTCAACTTTAACGTTCTCACATACTTGCAAAGCGATTGAAACTACAGCTTGTGTCAGGCTCAGGCACACCTTAATTCTCAGAATGACATTTTTGCTCTTTGACCCTCTAAAGAGATCTGGTTACAGCAGATGTGGCCAGTGCATTACATCATCTTTGGACTTTTTTTCACTGCTGCTCCCATGAGCCCAAAGAGTCAAAAGTGCCATTCTGGGTGAGATTGTTGCGAGGACCTGTGGTTGAAGCAATGGTACAATGGGGGGAGAGAAGACTACATACACACTGTGTGATGCTGACTCAACCCCAGCTCCTTAGAGAGTCTGTCTGACACTGTAGACCCCTCCTCCACACTGGGTCACCTAGAGTGAAATCTTGCCAGGAGACCACTTGGTATTTTTGCCCACAGAGCTGCTGGTGGGTTTGACCCATTGACCTCGTAAGCAGCTGAATGCTTCACCATTGTTCGACCACATTTTCTCTTTTCATCCTCCTACAAATCTGCACTGTAGAGAAACCCAGCTTCACATTTACAGAAATGAGCCCCGAAAGGGGAAGGGAGACGTGACCAGGGAGAAGTGGCAGGATCTAGTCCCGGTCTTACTGTGAGGCCCACCTTCTACCCATCACCAAGAAAGGTAGAGAAGCTATTACAAGGAGGTCTATGTCCCAGCATCACAGGGGAGCATGGCAAGCGCTAACCCAAGCCCACTGCCGCCCAGTCAGTCCCACTCACTGCCATGGACCACCCATGGCTTTAACCTTTTTGGAAGCCAACTGCCACACCTTAATCCTGCACAGTACCTGATAGGTTCAAACTTCCCACCTTTCCATTACAAAACAAGTGCTTTCACCGCTGTGCCACCAGGGCTCCTCTGGGGGTTGACCACAGGTCATACATGTAAGCCTGTGCACGAGTGTGGCGTGGGCTCCATCACAGAGCCCTCCTGCAAACAAGACACCTAGGAGACCCAGTGCTGCTGCTGCATTGGCCTGACCCATGACACCCCATGTGTTTTAAGAGCAGAGACCTGCTCCAAGGGGTCTTCTGGGCTGTAGTCATAGCAGGAGCCTGGTTTGCTGCATGCCTGCAGGAGAGAAGTCCTGGTAAACATAATTGGTAAACATTACAGTCTAGGAACCCCCGGAGCAGTTCTGTGGAGGTGGTTGTTAGGTGCCACCCCGTTGGTTCCGGCCCAGAGTGACCCTGCGCACAGCAGAGGGAAACACTGCCAGCCCTGCACCATCCTCACAACCGTTCCCAGGCTTGAGCCGTTACTGCAGCCACATGTCAGTCCATCTTGTTAAGGGGCTTCCTCTTTTTGGCTGCCCCTCTGCTTCGGCATGATGTCTTTCTCCAGGGACTGGTCCCTCCAGACAGCATGTCCAAAGTACGTGAGATGAAATCTTGCCTCTAAGGAGCACTCTGGCCTTCCTCCTCCCGAGACCGATCCATTTGTCCTAGCAGTCCATGGTACTTTCAAGATTCTTCTCCAGCACCTCCGTTCCAATCCGGCTCTACTCAGTTCTACAGGAGGGCTATGTGCCGGAACCCGATGCACAGCACACGCGATCTTGACAGAAGCTGATGGCGAGGCCTTTCCCTTGTGGCACCACTGGGTGGGTTTGAAATGCCGATCCTTAGGTCCGTAACCCAGCACTTGACTGTCGGAACCACCCAGAGACCTTGGGCATTCACAGCTGTGGAGCGCATGATAACTGACAAAACCTGGGGGCGGGGGGAGCATGGGTTAGTGATTTGGGCTGCAAGAAAATGAATGACAGTTGTCGGATAAAACCATTTGAAAATTGGTGAAACATAGGGGAAAGTCTATCATGAAAATATCCCCAACGGCCACATTTGGGACATGATTTGACATGTTATTAGGACATAATTTGACATGTCGCTGGAAGCAGACAGCATACTTGGATTGAATCAATGCTGACTCAAAGTGACTCCCTGTGGGTTTCGGGGACCATAACTGTTTACGGGAGTAGAAAGACCAGTGTTTCTCTCAAGGACCTTCCGGTGGTTTCCAATTGCCAACCATGCAGATTGCAGCCCAATTGTCACCACTGCGGCAGGGCCCGTGGTCGAGGATGCAGTCAGTGAAAAAGAGAAAGACCCTTAACAAGATGGATTGCCAGAGCTGCCACAGGGCGGCCTCAAATACCACAATTGTGAGGGTGATGCAGGGCCAGGCGGCTTGCTGCATGTGGGGTCACTAGAGCTGGAACTGACTTGACTATACCTAATAGTACCTCTGGTGGTGCTGTGGGTAATGTGTTGGACTGCTAACCACAAGGTCAGCAGTTCAAATCCATCAGCTACCCTCTTGGGGGTCACTGGGATGATCCAGGGGGGCCTGCCAGAGCAGATATCCTAGATTATGGTACAAAAGGTCTTACTATTTTTTAAAAGGTTTTACTTGTCAGGGAGGCACAGAGTAATTTTTTTTTTTTTTTTACCTGAAGAAGGGACAGTAGGCTAAATATATTTGGGAACCTGTTATTCATACTCTCAGAAACCCAAAGAAGAAATTCCACTCTGTCCTACAGGGTAGCTCTGATTTGGAACCCACTTAATGGCAGTGGGTTTGGTTTTCCCGCCACTCGAGAGCAAATGAAATTGGGACAAGTCTAAGCTGCACTGAAGGGTTTGGAGAAACAGAAGGACGCTGGGATTGACGTAATACCACTTGAAATGATTCAACCAACCGATGCCTTGCTAGAAGCACTCCCTAGTTTCTGTCAAGAAGTTTGGAAGACAGTTACCTGGCCATCTGAATGGAAGAGATTAGTGTTTCTGACCAATCCGAAGAAGGTGACCCAACAGAATGGGGAAATTACCCAACAATAGCATTGATGTCATGTGCAAGGAAAATTTTGCTGACAGTAATTCAACAATGGTTGCAGCCGGGCAGCAACAGGGAGCTGCCAACACTTCCAGCTGGATTCAGAAGAAGGCAGGGAATGATAACATTGCTGACGTCAGATGGGTCCTGGCTGAAAACAGAGACTACCCGGAAGATAACTACTTGCGTTTTATTGACTGTGCAACAATATCTGAGTGTGGATGTGTTAGACCCGGTTGGCCAGAGAAACAAATCCAGGGACACTCATATGTGTAAGAGAGTTTTTTTTTTTTTTAATCATTTTATTGGGGGCTCATACAACTACTACAAAGAGTAGTTGTATATCAAAAAATCACCCCAGACCAGCTCAGATCAAGTCCATAAAACTGATATTAGCCCATAAGTCCGAAAGTAGTTCAGAAATCTCTCTTCAGACTCGCACAGCCACACGCAGTGATGCAGAAATCAGGAAGCTCACAGGCCAGTGAGTGAAAAATCTTGTGGATCTGATGGCAGTGGAACATCACAGGGCTGGTGCAGGTCTCTGCCGCATGGCTTGTGAACAGGAAGGTGAAGCAGAGAGAGGGGGTCCTGGAGGGTCTCAGCAAGTCTCTGCATGGCTTGTCAACAGGAAGGCAAAGGTAGAGACAGAGGAAGTTCCCAGAAACCTCTGAGAAGGCCATCCCCACAAAGAGGCATCGTCAGGCCGTCTGACCTGCCATTGACAGACTAGACTCCACCCCTTCACTCTAAACACCCTCAAGTTGACACAAGGTTATATAACTACCACTATGGGCTATAATAAATAATGGATAACATTTCAAAGAATGGGAATTCCAAAACACCACGTTGCATTCATACAGAACCCATACATAGACCAAGAATCAGTCCTTCAAACTCAGCAAAGAGCTAACGGCAGGGTTTAAACCAGGAAAGTTTAAAAAACTCAATCTGTATGGTGAGCTAATAGAGAAGATGGACTTTAGGAAGCAGGACGCGGCATCAGGATTGGAGGAAGGTTCATAATCTGCTATATGCAGATGAGGAAACCTTACTTGCTGAAAGAGAAAAAGACTGGAAGCACTTACTGATAAAAATCAGAGATTATAGCCTTTGATACGGATGACAGTTTACTCTAAAGAAAATACAAAATCTCACAACTCAACCAGGAGGCGGCATTGTAGTAAATGAAGGAAAGGTTGAAGTTGTGAAGGAGTTAATGTGACTTGGGCCCTTGGAATTGGCAGTCAAGAAACCATAGGACGGGGTGTGTGGGGGGGGGAGGGGGGAGCGGGGAGGGAGGGGAAAAATGAGGACCTAATGCCGGGGTTTAAGTGGAGAGAAAATGTTTGAGAATGATGAGGGCAATGAATGTACAAATGCGCTTTACACAATTGATGTGTGTATGGATTGAGATAAGAGTTGTATGAGCCCCTAATACAATGATTAAAAAAAAAAAAGAAACCATAGGACGTATTGCGTTGCTTCTCTAGTGGACCCAGACGAACACCATAGCAACGATTGTGTGGTGGTGACAGACAGGGCAGTGTCCCTTTCTGTTACACAGGGTCAGTATGAGGCAGAACCACCGAGTTGATGGCACCTAACAATAGAGCCTTTGGTCTGGGATTCGAAGGCG